CTTTCTCTCTGAGAGGTTTATGAACCAGACTGCAGGAGCTGACTGGAAAACTGACTGTAATGATGGAAGGACACTCAAGCCTGTTTTAGACTCATCGTCCTTCACATGGGAGCAAAGATCCAGCAGGAAATCAAGATGATAGTCCTTCATATAATCATCATCATCATCATCCATGTCTCTCTCATTAACAGGGAATGTTTGATATGTGCACACTGATGATAACAGCTCCAGTATCTTCTCTCCTGTCTGCTGCACAGAACAGATTCACAAAGAACCTGACTCGGTCATCAGGATATATCCGGATAGAAACACTGGAACAAGAAGGAAACATTTAGTGATGATTAGATGTGAGCTGCATAAAAACAAACACACACTACTGATGGCCTCCATCTTTCCTTCCTGTACATAATGAAGCTCCATGTTAAACACATCTTCCATCAGAGCAGCTGAACACTGTTTTACACTCTTACAACACAAACACTCATCCTGCTCTAACACATCTGCTACATCTGCAGGTGGACACACAAAGTGATGAAGACTCTCTGCTGTCTCACGTCTTCACTTGTTGCTCACTGTAGTAGGGATGGACCGATCTGATATTAGGTATCGGTATTGGTCCGATACTGACCTAAATTACTGGATCGGATATCAGAGAGAAATAAAAAATTTAATCTGATCCATTAAATATCACAAAAGCACCTCATCAAACTGTCGACATGGCGTAACCCAGGTCATGAGCTGCCCCCTCCTCGAGTCAGAGATGGTCTTTATTAATTTTCTTTTTCCATCACACTTTCTGCTGTTTACATGGAGTGCAAACATGCAAGGTCAAAGTTCTGTTTTATGTTATATTAATACATCTTTCTTTGTTTGAGTTACCTGATGTTTTGGCTTCTCCTTTCTGGTTGCATCCTGAGCAACACAGCAGTGAGGCAGCTCACATATTATTACAGAGTTTCTCATCTAGGCTCAGAGCCTATTGCTCCCTGCAAATGCAACACACACAGAAATAGGGGAGTGATGAGTAAAAATCCTCCCGGAGCCTACATTAGTCTCATGGCCCCAGTATCTCTAAAGTGGTACTGACATATCAGAGGGATAGGTGGGAAACTTTGCACCTCTAGAGCACGGTGTATGCCATACACTGTATGGCATGAGGGGCCTGCTTTGGCACCAAAGGCAAAGTGCTGTGGGATCTGAAGTACTGCTGACAGCCTATTTGGACTAAACCACATGCTTCATTGTGTGGGGGTGTTTCAAGTTTGTTTAATTGTTTTGTGTTACTTGGTTATATTGCAGGCATTTTGTTTCCCCCTGGTCTCTCATTTGGTTTAGCTGAACTAGTGTTTAAGTTCCCTCATGTGTCATTTCAGGAAATCAGTTTGTCTTATGTTTGTTTGAGTTTTTGTTAGATGTTATTTTGAGTTTAATTTATTGACTTGACCTCTTTTATTGGTCTGTCTGTTTAAGTGTTGGCATGTCAATTATGTTTCATATTTTTGGGCCAATAAAACCCCATTTTTGAATTAAAACCCCTGTGTCCTCTGTGCCTGACTGCTTGGTCCCTGAAAACTGACAACAAGAAACTGAAAGAGTCGATCAAATAAAACAGCAGCAACAATAAAACTGAAACATGATTCCATCATATTGAATCTCCAAAGTTTAAATATGAAACAAATGAAAAAAGAATATTACCAGAATATTGCAAATTTAAAAAAAACCCAGGATTAAATAGTCAAAAAAATTTCTTTGTTTAAAATTAGATATTTCCTTATACAGATTTAGTCATGTGAAGAAGATTTCATTTACCTGAGCTGTGAGATATAAGGCAGACACTGAAGGAAACTCCTCACTTCACTCTCTTCATGTGAGCAGCCTGTCAGCTCCACTTGTTTCTTCTCTGGTTGGAGTTTCAGCACTTCCAGGAGGATGGAGGTCTTTCTCTCTGAGAGCTTTATGGACCAGACTGCAGGAGCTGACTGGAAAACTGACTGTAATGATGGAAGGACACTCAAGCCTGTTTTAGTCTCACAGTCCTTCACATGGGAGCACAGATCCAGCAGGAAGGCAGACTGAAATTTCTTTCTATAATCAGACAGGTTTATGTTCCCATAGGCCAGGGGTCAGCAACCTTTAACACCCAAACAGCCATTTGGACCCGGTTTCCACGCAAAAGAAAAAACTGGGAGTCGCAAATACTTTTTGAGATCTAAAATGAAGATAACACTGTATATATTGTTTTTTACCTTTATGCTTTGTGTGAACAACTAAAGTGTGTTGCTTATGAACTCCATGAAGTGCTACAGAGAAAATTACATTTTATTTATGTAATTAACAGATTTTGAACTCTTAAAGAAATATAACAAAAGGAAAGACACCCTGCTGAACGAAAATGATCCATGTAGCAAACAAACACTGTTGTGAGCCACCCTTATATCGCCTTTGGGCTTTTGGAGCCTTGACCTGAGTTTTAAAAAAATAATTGGAAAAAAAGCACTATGCTGCACAAAGATGAAAAATAGATATTTGCAAAATTCTGCCTAAATATGTATTTTACCTGGTTAATGTGTGTGGCGGGGCGTGGTCTGCAGCGCCGCTGCAGGGGAGGCGACGCACCTGAGCTGCACCCGCAATCACGCCTCGCCGCCTTAACGTCTGCGCTATTCTATGCTGTTGTGTTGGTATGTGTCGGGCTGTGAGCTACAACGCTACAGCCGGCTGTATGCGTACAGCAACCATGTGTGAAAAGCGTGTTCATGCAAACATCGTCAGGTCTGCCGTGATATGTTTACAATGGGACTTCTGCTCCTGAACCTCTGCGCACAGCATCTGCAAATCGGGGCTGTACAAAGTCACTTTCATCTTTACGCAGGACTGTAAGCTGTCATCTGTGAGGCGTGAGGAGTGTTTGTTTTTAAACATAGTTCATGGTGGAGAACAGCTGCTGACATAATGTGGATCCGAAGATCCATAATTGGCCTACCTGGGGTTGAAAGTCTCGATAAATACACGGCGTTTCGGCGGGTATACCGGCTTCTGCGAGTGTGAAGCTTATTTTGAGCGATGAAAAAAATAATCAAATATAATTTTATTTTTATATTTCAATGTCACAATAATCTTCCAATTTAGAACTACAAGTTAAAAAAGAACTAACATAAATAAAATACACTTCAGCTAAATACTTAAAAAAAATACTTATTTTCCCAAACTACGCGGAGCCGCAGTATAAGGACTAAAGAGCCGCAGGACTATAGACCCCTGCCCTATGCAAATGTTTGATATCTGATGATAACAGCTCCAGTATCTCCTGTTCTCTCTCTGCTGCTTCCCAGAACCCAATCTGAACGAAGCTGGTTCCTGCACCAGAATGTATCCAGTTAGAAACTCTGGAAAAAGAAGGAAACATTTAGTGATGATTTGATGTGAGCTGCATAAAAACAAACACACACTACTGATGGACTCCATCT